GGGTCTTTATTTTTCTAAATTTCCACAAATGGAGACTGAACCTAGCCCTGGAAAAACATGTCTCCTTCCACAGCCTCCCAAGAGGCAGGTTGGGGTTGTGGCTTAGAGGGGATGGTCCTTTCCCTGGGGAGAGCAGTCTAAGTGGGTGCCATCAGAGCACCCACTTCTTGGAAGAATCCTGTCTTGCAAACAGTCTGCTGAGATCAGCTTATCTCTCCTGCTCTGACGCTGGCTCGTAAATGACGTTTTCCCCCTGCTCCTGCCCTTCCCCAGGCACTTGTATCTCCTCCCGCATCCCCAAACCGCTGGCCCTGGAGCAGGCAACAGCTCCAATATTTGTGGGGCTTTTCCTGCCTCTCCCAAGGCTGCATTGTCCCTGCATCGTCCTGTGGCTTGAAGTGACAAGGAGCAAGGGGCTGGGACCGCCCTGCCCTTCAGGTAAGCTTGTTGGGGTGACACTGCAGTGTCCCTCTGTAGCGTTTGATGGGATGTTGGGCAGGAGTGCCCATCTCTGCTCCTGGGGGTTTTCTCTGGCCAGGGACAGATTGCACCTGGGCTTGGGCACTCGCCATGTGCTGAGGAGAGAGGTGTGTGGGTTCATCCTGGGGCTGCCATCCTTGCCATTTGACCAGTATTAGTCAGGGCTGGGAACCCACTCAGCTGCCCTGCTGAGGAGGTGGATATCCAGGGCTTCCTGGGACTCAGTAATGGGTGGGATAGTCCCAGCTGTGCCACCTGGGGTAGTTTTAAGGCTGACTCTTCCCTGTCACTGTCCTCTGTCCTCTGCCTGGTGGGAAGCCCTTCAGGGAGAGTGCTGGAGTTCCTGGGGAATTTGCTGCTCAGCCGGATCACTTTACCTGCCTGGGGCAAGGGCCCCCAGGGAGCCTCTCAGAGCTCCTTGAACTTTCTAGATAAGGAACTTCAGCCTGGTTGGTCTACGCAGTTCAAAACACACCAGGGCTGAGTGCTCCCCCTGCGCCACCCGGCATCTGAGATAACAGCAAGTGCTGGGAGCAGGGTCAGTATCCACAGCTGCTGCTCTGTGAGGAGTTTGTGGTGGCTGCTAGTGCAGCAAGCCCAAAGGCAGAGGAGTTTTAGAGGTGCCTCTTCTTTTGTCCATGGAGCAGCAAGGGAGTGAGCTGAAACAGGTCAGAAACACTGCCCAGGGACCCTCATTCTGTTGGGTGAGGGTGCTGCACAGAGCACCTTGTAAATGCTTTTTTTCTGCTGTCCAAGTCCTGGTGAAGCAGAGGACTTTGTCTGCAGACAGCAAATTAAGGGAGAAAGCAGAAATACCTGCTCCCATCTGCTCCCCTGATAAGCTGTCTCTTCAGGATGCAGGTATGGAGTAGGGCTGGAAGAGCAGATGGCATCACAAGGCTGTTTACTGAGAGGCAGAGAGGACAAGAAGAATAGGAAGTGCTATCAGCTTGCTGATGGAAACAGCCAAAAAGCATTCCAGGACTAGGAAACCTGCTGCAAGATGTTGGATGGATGAGGGATCAGAGGAAGACAGGCCATAGCAGAAACGGCAGATGAAGCTTTTACCTCTGTTAGCTCTACAGGAGCCTGAACAGTTTCTTCCACCTTCCTTTGGGGAGCTCGGAGCAGAGAAAAGGTAGAAAGCAAAGGTAACAGCAACAAGTTTCTTGGGCCAGACAATGTTCGCCAGAAGGAAAGGGAGGGTGAAGTGACTGGTTGTGACTGTGGCCCCTAGTCATTCATTTGCAACTGCTCCAGCCCCCAGTGACTGGGAGGAGGGAAAGATATGACGTTATTTTCTGAGAAGGGCTGAAGGAACTTCAGGGAAAAGCCAACTGCTGAATCTGCTACATGTCCTGGGTGTCTGTGCAGGGACAGGGCATGTGGCATGTGGGGAGGCTCCTGTGGAGAGGCCCTCAGAACTGGAGCAGCACTTCCTAGGGAGTCTGGGCTTAGAGTGCCCACACTGCTTCCTCCAAAAAATTCCAGCTTTCAGCCGAGTTCTTAAGGGACCTTGCTGGTCAAGAGGGAAAGCCTTTACTCAGCTCCATAATTAGTATGAAAACAGGAAGAGGGTGTAGGAGTCAGCAGTCAGTTTTTCCAGAGAAAAGAGATCTTTGCATTGGTCACATGTTTTTTCAACATTCATGAGTGACCTAGAAAAGAGAATGAACAATGAGATGACAGGAGTTTGCTGAGGTGATTGGATTACTCAGGTTCATGGGGACAAGTGCCAGCTAGGAGGAGCACTGACAGCCATTACACCAGGCAACTGAAATTCAGTTTAGATAAATATCAAGTGATAGACAGGGGGGGAAGGGAAGAAGCCCCAAATCCACAAACAAGATTATACACTGAGCCAGCCATAGCTGGCCACTCACAGTAAGGCCTGGGGCTATTTCAGATAGCTCAGTGTGCATGAAAACACACACTGAATCATCTTTCCCAGTTACAAAGCAGAAGCAAAGCAGGAAAGCTTTGTGCCACTCTTCACACTGGTGTCTCACCCCCACACAGTCCCTGTGTGCCCCCAGCACCAGCATCTCTGTAAGGATTGAGAGGAGCCAGGGAAGATTTGGAGAAAAGCAACAAGGAGGACTGAAGGCATGGAGCCATGCCTGAATGACTAAGTGAGCTAGAATTTCTGTTTGAAGAATGTGCTGTTGGGTGGATACAATCCAGGTCTGTAAAGCAGCCACTCCAATGTTCATCCACCCTTTGATGTTGAAGGGACGGGAGCCCTGGTGAGGCCCTGCATGTGGGGAGAGCTGCTGCTCCTCTCAGGAGCTCCTGAGTTGAAGGGGGAAGCAGGATTTCACAGAAGTGAAACCCACCATGGCTACAAAACACATGAACATCGTGTCCCTTCCAGCTCGAAGGCTGGGGAAACAGTTGGACAGTAAGTCCACAACCCATGCCACATTTACTCTTTCCTACCATCTGCTTTTGCATTCTGATGGAGACCAGCCTTTGAGCTGGACCAGCCTCTGCTTTGACTCAAGGCACCTGCTTCCCCTTGTTGTGGGAGGGCTTATTTTTGTCTCAGCCCCACAGCGGTGGTGCGCAACTGTGCACACTCATCTGTCTTGTGCAATACAAGCGTGTGTCCTGAAGGTGGAGGTGGAATTGCCTGCACCCCAGCACAAGGTAGGAGGATCCACAAGCAGAGTGGTCAGAGTTCAGGCACGCATATGAAATCTCATAAAACAGGCAGTCTCATAAGTGTTTCCTATCTTCTAGCTGAGTCATGGCCACCAAGGTTTCATGTGACCTGCATACCTGTGCTGGGCTTGTTCCATGTCTGCAGATAAACCTTGAGGGGCCTCTGGATCAGCCTTCCTGGCAGGAGAACTCTGGTGTCTCCCAGTGGGCAAGCAGACATAGGGGATGGGGTGAAAAGCTGGTGAGGTAACTTGTCCTATCCCATCTTGGCCATGCTTGGAGGAAGTACTGACATTATCCCTGCAAAATGATCCCTTGACAAGTGGTGTCAGGGGGACATGGGGTGTTTGCCAGTCTATCTGCTGGCAACCCCTTGGCTATGGACTGCCAGGACACTTCTACACTTGGTGTGGTGTAAATGGCTTTTCTTTAAAAATTTGGTGTTTCTGGGTATAACTCCATGGTGCCATAGCATGCCTGCATGGTACCAGGGAATTGCTCGACTGGGAAGCTAAGCATGCACTGTGCTCACCCTTGGTGAAGGCAGCAGGAGAAGGTCATGTGGGGAAAGAGAGAGGTAGGGAAGTGTCCAAAGCCAGGTGACAAATGGCTGCCTGCAGGTGTGGCTGTCCTGCAGTGCAGGTTTTTCTGAAGTTAGGCAGTTTTGGTGACAACTAGCCCTAGCTGTCAGCTCCTAGGGCTTGGCTGGCAATGGGGCTGCATATGGCCACTGAGAGTGTCATTCAGCATCTGCCACAGCCTTTGTGTGTCATGAATGGGCAATTAAAATTGTGCCATCTCTTGTTTGTACCTGCTCAAATGTTCTAGTTTATGGTTTGTTAAGTCCACTCTTTGATCTTGCTTCTGCTTACACATCACTGCCATGGGGTTAAGACAGACTGCTCTATGCCCGGGAAAAAAGGGATGTCCTTATGGCAAGGCCCCACATCGCTGCTCCTTCTCTGTGTCCCTCAGGATGTGCAGCCACCAAGCTGACTCCTGCAGGGGGCAGTTGGAGCTCTGCTGTGCCAGCTGGAAAAGTGGCATCTGTCCCATGTCCCATCAGGTAGGACAGCTCTCCCCAAGTGGAAGCAGGGCTGCCACCTGTTGCTGGATGTAACCTTTTCTGTTTGTTGTAGGGTTCTTTGTAACAGCCAGCAGCTGGAAGTGTTTCCTGCTGTAATGACTGCTGCCCTTGGCAGGCACTGTCTCTTTGTGGAAAACATTAGGAGGCATTTAGCGAAGTGAGACAGAAAACAAACAGAGCAGGCAGGAGGCTGCGGGCGGGCAGTGCCTGCCAAGGAGGCTGGGCTCCTGACAGGGATGTGGGCACTCTCCGGACGGAAGCAGGAGGTGGTGGGAAAGCAGCATGGCGGAGCGCCCTGCCCCAGCACCCCCAGAGTCCTACCGAGCCCCCCTGCCTCCTCCCCAACACGCCCGGCTCGTGTCATCTCCTCCTGAGCTCCCTCCTGTTCCTCCCTTCCCTGGATGGTTGGGCAGCAGGACGTGGGCTGTGTGCCAGCTCTGGTACCCGATACCTCTTCTCCTCCTCCGCGGGTGCCGCTAGACCCACGGGGCTCCAGCCCCCGTGACTTGAGCCAGGGCCTGCCACTCACCCCAAGGGCGGGGGTGTGGAAGCAGGGGACACACTGCCTTCAAATACTCCGAACACAGGGCTCACCCTGGCTCTGTCCTCTCTCCCAGGTATGTCTATGGGGTCAGTCCCTGCCTCTATTTCTAGGGACAGCAATGTGAGCCGGTGGGGGCTGGAAGGGGGATCAGCGGCTTGGCTGGCAAGGGGAAGCATGTTGGGGTCTGCTGGGGACCCACGGGGAAAGCTGAGGTTCTCTTGCCTAGTTTGGGTTGAGATCTGTTTGCTTGGAGACAACCAGTGGCCCCGGTGGGATTTCTGTGTGTGAGGGGATGGCAGTTTTGTTTGCAGATCTCTGCTAATCCCGAATGTGGATGTCTCCTCCCCGCAGAGGCACTGGTAGGCTGCCAGGAGGGGATTTGGGGTGTTTTTTTTGGAAGCCCGGATGGCTCACAAGGGCAAGGCAGGAGCTGTCATGCCCCCGAGCTCTCTGTGTGGGAAGGCAGGGGAGCGGTGCTGCAGATGGCTCCGACATCAACAGGGTGGCACCTGCCGGGTTGGCAGAGCCCTCGATCCTTTGCAGGCATACTGTTGTCCTGCTCTGTCCTTCCCAAGTGGCCCAAGGGACTTCCAGAATCCTCCTCCACATCCCACCGGCTGTTTCGGCTCAATCGTAGCTCAAGCTCCCAGCCGGCAGGATCCTACCGGAGGAGGAGGCGAGCTCTGCCCAGAAACCCACGGGCACCTGCGCCAGGGACGGGCTGCGCTGCCTTCAGTGCGTGCCGGGGCTGGCAGGGACTACAGATCCCAGCATGCTGCTGCCTGCCTCTCCCTCCTCCTCCTCCCCTCCTCCTCCTCCGCCCTACCTGGCGGGGCGCAGGGATGCTGCAGGCGGCGTTGGAGCAGGCATCCGTGGGGCATGTCCCGGGGGCGCCGGGGACGCGGCGCCGGCAGCCCCGCTGCAGGTGAAGCCCTGGGAGACAAGGAGCCGGAGCGCCCCATGCTGCGCCGCCCCGACTGGAAAAGGACAAGGCAGGCCTGCGGTTCCTCCTGGCGGCTAATCCCACTCTGCCCCGGGAAGAGGGGGGGACCGGGGAGGGAAAGTCTCTTCTCGGGGCTCTGGGGACCACGTCTGTGGGGCTCTCAGAGCGATACCTGAGCGGTGCAGCCCCTGGGCAGGTGATTGGAAAAAAGGAGCAGTGGGTGTCCGGGAGGCGACAGCAGTGCCAGGGACGCCCTTGGCTTTTCAAGGTGACCCAGGAAAGGGCTGTGAGAGCCTCAGGGAAGTGGAATTGAAAACGGGAGATTTGCTGGTTCTGGCCGGAGAGGCTGCTGAATTAAATGTGTCTTTTGTGCCACCGAGCCCGCCCCGGGCGTTGGAGGGAGCTGGGGTGGGCAGACACAGCCCACTGCGCACATGCTTCACTCACAGCCCCAGGATTGGGGACAGAGAGCTGCAGGCTCACAAATCCCTTAAGAGCCTGCTGCAAGCAGCTGGGCAGCCAGCATGAGCAGCCTGGGAAAGCAGTTTCCTTTCGGAGGGAAGGCTTGCTGTGCCCTGCCAGCAGAATAAGGTTGTGTGCCACAGCCCCTTGGCTTAAGGACTCTGAACAGCAGGTTTCCAAAGCTCCTGCGTTGTCCTCTCACCATTTTCTGGGTTGGTGTTTGACTCGCAGTACTGTGGAACACTTACTGGCAGCATGGGTTGGGGTTCAAACCAGTGCTGCCCCTGCCTGGCATGTGTCTCTCACTTTCCCATAAAATCTTGTTTGTTTTCCAGACGGAGAGCAGCCATAAGACTTGCTGGGACCTGTGCTAACTCTTGCCACACAAGATGACAGCAAGAGACGGGCCCCAAGATAGGTAATGATGGGTTCTGATGTTGCTGAGGGGGCACATCCAGGATACTAGGAGGTGAGACAGGACAGGGGGACCCAGCATCTGGGAGACCCCCTCTCCTGCATGCTAATTGGGCTACCAAGCTGTCCGTTCTTTCTCAGCTTTTCCACAGCAAATGGGCTGTAAACTGTAAACAGTCCCCTGTAAACATGCCTGGGGAGCCTAACTCTCTCCCACACCTTCTGGTGGATGCTGTGTGTCTGGGTGCCACATGCTGAGGAGCAGCCAAGGTCTCCCTGCCTTCGTAGCCTGCTGGGGAGGGCCTCCCACAGCCCCTCTGCAGTGCCTCATCTCTGGCAGCCCAGGCTAGCAAGGGCTGTGGAGCAGGGCAGTAAATATTGTCTGGTGCCTCCTACCACAGGGTCAGGGACAGTCAGAAGCAATACCCAGCTTCCACTCCAAACCCCACTCTGTTCCCTTCACAGGTACAAGGCTGTCTGGCTGATCTTCTTCATCCTCGGCCTGGGAACACTGCTGCCATGGAATTTCTTCATGACTGCCAGAGAGGTGAGGGCTTTCCTCCTGCTGTTGTCCATAACAGTAATTGTCCCCTGTCGTGTCTAGGGACCATGGTCTAGATGTGGCAGCATGGCACAGCACGCAGAGGACCGCAAGTGTGTGTGACCTGGGTGTGACGAGTGGCACTGAGGCAGCAGGAGGGATGGGCATGGGTCTGAACAAAGAATAAGGGTGGCCTTGGAAGGCCTCACAGAATCTCAGCCCCACCAGGCTCCTTCCTTTGCAGTATTTCATCAGTCGCCTTGCGGACCCGGAGGAGATGAGCCACATCGGGAACCAGACTGGCGAGGCCACCTTCACACCCTCCTACCTGCAGTCCGTGTTTGACAACTTCATGACTCTCTGCGCCATGGTGCCCCTCCTTATCTTCACCTGCCTCAACTCCTTCATCCACCAGCGGTGAGCCTTGCTCCGTCCTTGCCCCTGCCAGCCCCCATAGAGCCACCCTGCCCTGGCCTGTTCTCCTGTCCCAGCACTGAGCCAAGCTACAGCCCATTCGGTCATGTCAAAGGCAAAACATCAGTCTCCTGTCTCAGGATTTGGCTGGGATTCCCACAGTTAGAGCTTGGTCCCAGCCCCATGTTTTTAGGGGATTGGGTTTTCCTCACTGAGACCTTCTTTTGTAGGATTCCCCAGCAGATCCGTATCTCAGGCAGCCTGGTGGCCATTGGGCTGGTGTTTCTAGTCACCGCGATCATGGTGAAAGTCCCCATGGATCCTCTTCCCTTCTTCGTCTTTACCATGATCAGCATTGTCTTCATCAACTGTGAGTGAAGCAGTGGGGGAAGGAGAGGGACACAGCCCCATGGCAGGGCTGATCCCTCTGGAGAAAAGCGTGAACCTCACTGTGGGAGAGCCAGGGGAGAGGGGGACTTGCCTTGCCTGGCAGGGCAGGGGCCTTGGTTCCCTGCAGAGGTGCAGTCCGTCCTTGCCTTTGGTTTCTCATATCTGCTCATCTTTCCCCTTTGCAGCCTTCGGCGCCATTCTCCAGAGCAGCCTGTTTGGGCTGGCAGGGCTCCTGCCTGTCAGCTACACAGCTCCCATCATGAGTGGGCAGGGTTTGGCAGGCACCTTCGCTGCTTTGGCAATGATCTTCAGTATTGCCAGTGAGTAATCCCTGCCTTGCAGGTGACAGGGCCTTCCCAGACCACTGCTGTCACAGCATCTGCCGAGGTCATGCTGTGTGGAAGATGGCAGCAGGGCTTTGCTCCTCTCAGCTGTCATCATCTTCCTTTCCTCTCCCTTCCTATGCTCTCAGTTGGTGCCCAGCAACCCGAGAGCTTCATCGGTTACTTCACCACGGCCTGTGTGACAATCGTGCTGGCAATCGTCTCCTACGTAGTTCTGCCTCACATGGTGAGACTGCTGTCCTGGTAGGGAAGGGCTTGGGGACATCGGACCTTTGCGCATCCCAGCACAAGAACCGTGGCCCACTAGCAGCCTCCACTTCTTGTGTCAGGCCAGGTTCTCCTGTGTCCCAAGGGAGCACTCTGGGATACTTCCCACCACAGATACCCCAGTATACTTGGGGTATCTGAGTCCCTGGGTAAGCAGGAAAGCATCAGTATCAGGCAATAATTGGAAGGAATGCTTTGCCCATATTGCCCATATCTCCTGTTGTCACACAGCCCCTGGCAGCCTTCTTTCTGCACGCATGAATGAGTCCTCCCTGCTGTCTCTCTGCAGGATTTCTTCCGATACTACTCCATGAAGGACAAGACAGAGTACCGCGTGTACAATGCAGAGCTGGAGACCAAGAGAGACCTGATTAAGAAAGGTGAGGGGCTGAGAGAAGGAAGAGAAAAGGGAAAGAGAAAGAGCTTAAAGAAAGAATGAGAAGGATTGAATTAGATCATGGCTTTCTGGGGTCTGCTGTGCCCTACTTGTGTCTCTCCCTGCAGATGAGAATGGGATGGAGCAGAATAACTCAAAGGTCATCCCTGTCCACAACCCTGATGAGCAGCCCTCTGTCATTGCTATTTTTAAGAAGGTCTGTGAGTTTCCAGCAAGCCTTGTCCTGCCCTTCCTTTTGGGATGGGCACAGGTGTAGGAGAGCATGGGGAGAGGAGACCAGCCCTGCACTGGTCTCTTGCCCTGTGTTTGGTATCAGCATTTTTCTTTCATCTACCTAGCTCTGGGTCTTGGCTCTGTCTGTCTGCTTCGTCTTCACTGTCACCATCGGCGTCTTTCCTGCCATCACAGCTAACGTGTCCACTGTCCTCGGAGAGGGAAACAAATGGGGTAAGTGTGCCAGGGATGCGGGCGAGGTAGGAAAAAACTGAGAACAAGGTAAATGGGAGAAAAGGAGGTGGGGCTTGAAGGAATGTGTGGTGGGGTAACCCTGTCTGGATGCCAGGTGAGCACCAAAGCCACTCCAGTTGGACAGGGGAGATAAGATATGACAAAAGGCTTTTGGGTCAAGATAAGGACAGTGAGAGATCACTCATCAATTACTGTCACAGGCAAAACAGACTCAACTTGGGGAAAATTAATTTAATTTATTTACCAGTCAAATCACAGTAGTATAATGAGAAGTAAAAACTAAATCTTGAAACACCTTCCACTCATCCCTCCCTTCTTCCCAGGCTTAAGTTTATTTACGATTTCTTTATCTCCTTCCTCTGCAGTAGTGCAGGAGGATGGGGAATGAAGGTTGCAGTCAGTTCTTCACACATTTCCTCTGCCACTGCTTCCTTCTCAGGGGGAGAACACCTCCCACTCTTCCCCTCCTCCACATGGAGACCCTCTCATGGGAGGCAGTCCTCCTTGAAGTCCAGTGTGAGTGCTTCCCATGGGCTGCAGTTTTTCATGAACTGCTTCAGCCTGGGTCCCTTCTATGGGACACAGTCCTTCAGGAACAGACTGTTCCAGCATGGGTCCGCTGCAGGGTCATAAGTTCTGCCAGCAAACCTGCTTCAGAGTAGGGTGGTCTTCACAGGCAGCAGGTGGATATTGACTCACTGTGGACCTCCTTGGGCTGCAGGATGGCAGTCTGCCTCACCATGGTCTTCACCACAGGCTGTAGGGGAATTTTTGCTCTGACATCTGGAGCGCTTTCTCCCCTTCCTTTTCCACTGGTCTTGGTGTCTGCAGAGCTGGTTCTGTCACATATTCTCACTTCTCTCTCTGGGTGCAATTGCACATGTTGAGAATTTTTTTCCCTTTTTAATATGTCATCCCATAGGCCCTACCACTGTCACTGATGACCTTCACCAGTGGTGGGTCTGTCTTGGAGCCATTTGACATTGGCTCTGTCAGACTGAGGGGTGCTTCTAGCAGCTTCTCTCAGAAGCTGCCCCTGTAGTCCACCCTGTTACCAAAACATTGCCACACAAACCCAATACAGAATGCTGGAAGGGAAGAGGGAACCACTGTGCATGATGGTTTGGATGTGGACACCAGCCTGGCTGGGAGACCATTCCAGGCCTTGGTGGAAACTGGGAGGACCTTGACCTGAAAGACAGTCAGTCTCTGTGCAGTGGGTATGAGGGATTGGGGCATACTTGGATTCTCACTGACCATCCCTTTCTTCAGGTCTCTACTTCATTCCTGTCTCCTGCTTCCTGCTCTTTAACGTCTTTGACTGGACAGGACGCAGTCTCACTGCCCTCTTCACATGGGTGAGTATGGGGCAGGGAGCAAATGCCAGGCAGTGTTTATCCCTAGGTCCTTCAGCCACAGCTCTCACTGGGGCTGCCACCCATGGCTTGGAGCAGGAAGGAGGTGCACTTAGACAGATAAGTCCTGCTTTAAATTCTAAGTGCAGATTTATGGGTCAGAGCCGAGAACCACAGTGTTGTTCTGTCCTCCCACCTCTCTTTCAACATGGCTTGGATGAAGCTGCCTCCTCCATTTCAGCCTCTCTGTAAACAAACCTTCACTCCAGCTATGCAAAAGACGAGACAGGATGGCGACAGGGAAAGAGGGTGAAAGACAGGGCAGCCCAAAATAAAACCTCTGGCCTTGGCACAGGACACAGCTGCTTCAAAGACCCTTCTCCTGAGAGCAGGGCAGGGCCATGCCATGTGTGTCACACAACTGTCCCCTGCTACATCCCCTTGCTCTCATCTCCTCAGGATGGACAAGGAAAGGGGCTTTCCTGTCTGGGTCTCTTCCTGCCCTTTCACCCACCCCCCAAGCGCTGTTTCCCCCTGTATTGTTCAGGCTGTTTGTTTAGAGAAGCTTCTCAGGACCACGTCCCACATGGGGTCTGCCTGGGCCTGCCTTCCCCACGGCCTGGAGCTGCTTCTCTGCTGGCCATCACTGCTTGTTGCCTTCGGTCTTGGCCACGAGCCGCCTTGCCTGGTGTCCAGGCCACAGCCTCCATGGTGGGATGACCCAGCAGGAGATGTTTCCAAAACAAGGCTGTGTGGAAAGTCTGACTGTGTGTGGTTTGGGCCACATTTCCCTGGTTGGGGCCCCGCTCACTCTTTGTCTCCTCAAGCAGGAGAGGCAGCTGCTGTCTTCAGTTTGCCCCATAGAGACGGCAGCTGGCCTAACCTCAGTTTCTTCCTGTGTTCATGGAGTTTCCTGTGGCCACGCCAGCCCAGCAGCTCCCAAGGCAGCTGTGGGTCTCTCCTCATCTCAGACCAGTGAACCCTGTCATCTGTGAACCTGGCACACCTCACTGAGGGGACGAGGTCTGTCTCAGTCCAGGGGCTGCCTTAGTCCCAGCTGCAGGGACAACACAGGGGTATGGTACCTCCTTCTTTGTCCCAGCCTTAGTTGCTCAGGAACTCTGGTAGGATCTAAGCAGACTGTAACTCGGTCCACGCCTTTCCCAGCACATTCCAAAACAGCCCCAGCATAATCCCTTTCTCAGATTGCTGGATCTTGCCCTGCTTGCTGGGGGATGGCGTAGCACTCCGGAGAGCTGGCTAAAGCCCAGTCTGCAGGCGCTGAGGTGCCAGAGGGGCTTTACCTCAGCCACCCTTGTTCTGCACGCTGCCTCATGCCCTGAGCATGCACAAAGCTCTCTTGCCTGCCTGTCTATTGCCAGCAGGGGCTTAACAGTTGTGCACAAGCGTGGCTCAGTATTTTGACTCTAGTGCTGCTTCTAGTCACCTGCAACAGGGCTTTCAGACCTAGAACCTACTTATGACTGCAGGTGGTGATGCTGAGATTTGTTGCAGCCAAGAAGGTCTCTCAGCAGCTTTGCCATCTCTGTGGCTCCTCCACAGCCCTGGTGCAGTAGGGACAGCCTCTGTAGAGCCCCTGGCAGCATGCCATGGGATGGGGAAGTCCAGTTCTCAGCTGCTCAGCAATCTGTGTTTTTCTCCCAGCCCGGGATGAACAGCTGCCTCCTGCCAGTGATGGTGGTCCTCCGTGTCATCTTTGTCCCTCTTTTCATGCTGTGCAACGTGAAACCCCGTTCTTACCTGCCTGTTGTGTTCTCTCATGACGCCTGGTACATTGTCTTCATGATCTTCTTCTCCATCTCCAATGGCTACCTGGCAAGCCTTTGCATGTGCTTCGGGCCAAAGTGAGTGTGAGCTGGGGACAAGGGAAGGGTTGGTTATGCCCCCAGATGCCAGCCCTGGAATGATTTGTGGAGTCTAGCTCTGCCCAGCTCTGGCATCTGGAAAAGAGGCCACGGGCACAGAAGGGAATTGTCACTACCCACAGTGTCCCATCTCCCAGGCTTGTGCCTCCATGTCCTAGGGATGAGGAAGCTATCTGGGCTCTCCATTTTCCTCACCTGCCACACAGGGGAAGGGGCTGGATGCAGCGGGGATCTGGAGGGGAGTAGAGCATGGCATGGCACCCACAGCAGGGTGAGCAGCCTTCCCCAGCACAGGGAGCACAAGGAGCCCCACAGGGGTCAGAGAGAAATGTCCCTGGTGCCAGGAGCTTCAGGGTGGCCTGCCTGATGCACTTTATGAACCAACAGTGTGGAGACTTGGAGTTCTTGTGGCTCTAGGAGCCAAGAGGAATTTCTTCTTGCCATTCCTCTGCTGCAGACAAGCCTCCCAGCTCCACTGAACAGAGGGCACTGGACACATCCTGAGGATGAATCTGACACCTGTTTCTCCCCTAGGAAAGTGCTTGTGCACGAAGCAGAGACAGCTGGAGCTGTCATGGCGTTTTTCCTGTCACTGGGTCTGGCCCTAGGAGCTGCTCTCTCCTTTCTGGTCCGAATTCTCATCTAGCAGAGGCACACAGAGGGTGCAGGGACACCAAGAGATGGCTCCGCATCCTCCCCTGAGGCCCTGGACACCTCAGCACTGTGGGGAAATAACAGCTGACACCTGTCCCTGCCAAATCACACTGCCACAGCAGACATTACACCCAGGGACGGTTCCACTCCTGCAGGGCTGGCCTGGTTCCTGCCACGCTCGGCTGCGTGATGCCCTCAGGCCCACGTGCCTTCTCCTTCCCCATGCTGTGTGTGTTGTAAGACCCCCGGGATCTCCAAGAAGTCCAGCTGCCTCCCGTGCTGCGTAACTTCCCTGGCTCAAGGCCAAAAGCCATTTTCAGCCTCTTTCTCTCTGAGAGAGTGAAAGGCTGGTAACTAGTGTTACTCCTCTTGCCCGTGTCTCCAAAGCACCTAGGAGATTCTCTCCTCTCCTCTCCTCCTAGGGGGCCTGGAATTATCCCACACCCCTGCTCCTGCTGATAGACTTGTGAATGGTGAGGAGAGCCCCAGCCAGCCTTGCCATCCCCGCTCTCTGCTATACGCACATCCCCCTGACCAGTGGTATCCCTGAAGTGTAGACATCTGTGTCCCAGCCACAGAAAGAGCCAACACCATGGCCAGGCTGAGGGAGGAGGAGGTCTCCACACCCCACCTTCTCCCCCTCTCCTTGCCTCTCTTCCTTTTTTTTTTTTTTTTTTTTTTGTGATTCTGACATTGGTTTTTTTTTCAGCCTCCTGGTTGTGTGACAGGAGGCTCTACTGTGGGTTACAAGAGGAAAAGCAGCAACTCCCTTCCCAACAAAGCTGCCTTCCCTGCCCATGTGTGCTACAAGGGAAGGCCTCACCTCTCCCTTGGCTTTCATGTCCCTTGTCACGTAAATGTGTCTATACAGTTGCCATTTTCTATAAAAAGAACAAAACGCTCCTTTGGGTATGTGTTTTTGTCTCTGTCGCCACAGGGGAGAGGGGCTGTGGAGGACCAAGGGCTGAAGTGAGAAGGCACTGGCATTTCCTTACCAGGAGCTTCAGGGTGGCCAGCCTGATGCACTTTATGAGCCAACAGTGTGGAGACTTGGACTTCTTGTGGCTCTAGGAGCCAAGAGGGATTTCTTCTTGCCATTCCTCTAGTTCCCTGCAGGCAGCATCAGGAATGGTGCATGCATGCCCTGCACACAGGCCAGTGAGGACACAGCCAGTGTGGGAAGGGGATTGTAGAACCATAAAAGCAGAGTGGTTCAGGTTGCAAGGGGATTTGAAGATCATCCAGTTCCAAACTCCCTGCCATGGGCTGTGTAATTTCCACACACCAGGTTATTGCAGCTCCATCCAGCCTGGCCATGAAGACTTTGAGGGGTGGGGCATCCACAGCTTGTCTGGACAATCTGTTCCAGTGCCTCACCACCCTCAGAGTAATACATTTCTTGCCCAACATCTAAACCTTCCCTCTGTTTGAAACCACTCCCCTTTGTCCTGTAACTACATACTCTTTGTCCCTGTCCATCTTTATTGTAGGGGCCCATCAGGTACTGGAAGGCCACAATTTGGTCACACCAAACCCTTCTCCAGGCTGAACGATCCAAGTTCTCTCAGAGATCCCTTGTAGGAGAGGTGCTCCATCCCTCTGATCATGTTGCTGTTCCTCCTATGGATTATCTCCAGCAGGTGCAAGCCCCTCCTGTGCAGGGGACCCCAGAGCTGGATGCAGCCCAGGACACCACTGTCTTTCTGAGCTGGGAGTGCACATGGTGAACTCATGGCCAGCCTCTCATCCACCAGCACCCCAGGGATGCTGCCCTCGAGGTGTAACAAGGGCACCTCTGATAAAGAGCAAATGCACCTTCACATTTTGAGGTGCAGTGACCTGCAGTACTGCATCTGGGAGCTGTCCTTGTGCCTGGGAACAGCCAGAGTGCCACCTCCTGCTCCTGGGGTGAACTACACCAGCCTCCCAGCGGGAATCCCCTTCCCCTGTCCCACATCATTCACAGCCATCTCTTCTTTGCACCGCCAGGCACCAAAACCCATGTGGGAGCTCGGATCCCCCATCCCACTCCAGCTTCCTTTGCTGGTCAGGGCTTTTGTACCCACAGCTTCAACACAGAATCACAGAGCGGGTCAGGTTGGAAGGCACCACAGTGGATCCCCTGGTCCACCATCTCCTTAAGCAGGGTCATCCTAGAGCACAGGGAACAGGACTGTGTCCAGACAGTTCTTGAGCATCTCCAGTGATGGAGTCTCCACAATCTCTGCAGGCAATCTGTTCCAGTGCTGGGTCACCCACACAGTAAAGTTCTTCCTCATTTTTAGGTATTATTTCCTGTGCATCAGTTTGTGGTTTCTGCCTCTTGTCCCATTAGCTTGGCAGCACCGAGCAGAGTGCACCTCTGTCCTTCACACCCTCCCTTGCGATACCTATGGACATTGATGAGCTCCCCTCTCCATCATGCTGAGGCGGAACAGGCCCAGCTCCCTCATCCTTTCCTCTTAAGAGAGATGCTCCTGTCCCTTAATCATCTTTTTTACGCTCCTCTGGACTGGCTCCAGGGGCTCCACGTCTCTCTCGTACTGGGAAGCTCAGAAGCGGACAGAGTACTGCACATACCGGAATGGTAAGGCTTAAGATTGATTTCTATTATTATTTCCTCGAACACTGAAAAGACAACCTCTCCAAACACCGTTTTGCAGCGGCGACACGGGCCTGCCATACACTCCGGCCCCGACACCTTCTGTCCCCGCCCTTTCAGCTGCGGCTCCACGCAGCCTCAGGCCGGCAGAAGGACGCGGCTCCCGGCCGCGGGGGGAGCTGCAGGATGACGCCGGGGCAGTGCGGCTCCCGGTTCCCTGCCCCAGCCACGGAGCCCGAGAGGCGCCGCCGCGAGCTCTGTGGAATACTCTGGAAGCGGTTTACCACCGCAGCTGTATTCCTCCGCGACGGGGCGCGGAAAAGAGTTCCTCGCCGGGGCTCCCCGCCGCCCCTCGCCGTGGCGCCAGGAGGTCCCGGTCCCGCGGCCCTCCGAGCGTCGCGGCGAAGGGCGGCGGGGAGCCGCGGCTGGCGACTGCAAAGCGGCAGCATGAAGCCGAGCATTCATTGCACGCCCGCCCCCGCCATGGCGGCGCTAAACAGCAACGCCGGTGCCTCCCACACAGCATCGATCTGCGGCTCGCTGACCAAGACCCCTTTAAGGCGGAGGGATACAATGTGCCGTGAGGGTCCCCTCGTTCCGAGCCTATAAAAGGCGGCCGGTGAGGGGCTGTCGCTCTCTCGCCGGTCCCTCACGCCCGAGACGGTAGGGGCCGGACGGGGCTGGGGCTGGGCCTGGCGCCTCCGCCGCCCTCGCTGTGCTTCTCGTGCCCTGAAAACGCACTGAAAATAGGCATGTGTTTGTCTTATAGATGCCCGAGAAAGTGCAGCACGAGGAGGAAGATGCGGAGACCTTCGCCTTCCAGGCGGAGATCGCCCAGCTCATGTCGCTCATTATCAACACCTTCTATTCCAATAAGGAGATCTTCCTGCGGGAGCTCATCTCCAACGCCTCCGACGTGAGCCCGGGCGGGAGTGGGCTCCTTCCTCTGCCGGGGGTCGGGGTCGGGCCTGTGTCCTTCCAGGGGTGCCCGGGGGGAGGCCGATTCCCGGCTCTCCGGAAGGATTGTGCAGGGGAGGGACGGAGGAGGCTGGCGAGCAGGGAGGCCGTGTCCAGCATCCCTTTTTCCCCTAGGCCCTGGATAAGATCCGCTATGAGAGCCTGACTGATCCTTCCAAGCTGGACAGTGGGAAAGACCTGAAAATTGACATCATCCCCAACCCCCGGGACCGCACGCTGACCCTGGTGGACACTGGCATTGGGATGACAAAAGCAGACCTCATCAACAACCTGGGCACCATTGCCAAATCTGGGACCAAAGCCTTCATGGAAGCCCTGCAGGTGGGTTGCCTTTGGCTGCATGGGTTCCCTGGGGCCTGGGTCACAGGCTGGTGTTGAATTTGCAAATAATAAACAATAAAAAGGCCCTGCTGCCTTGTTTGCCGTGGGAAATGTTGGCCTACTCAAGTGTGCTTCCCACATCTTTCCAACACCAGGGAGGAGCTGAGCATAGAGCTGGCTGCCTGTTGGCACTTGCATGCTTTTCTCCATGTGCCTGACCCAGTTCTTTGCTGTTGTGAATCAGTCACAGACGTTTTGTACCTCCACACTTTGCTTAGCAGCTGCTCTCTGCTTTCGCAGGCTGGCGCAGACATCTCCATGATCGGGCAGTTCGGTGTGGGTTTCTATTCCGCCTATCTGGTGGCTGAGAAGGTGGTGGTCATTACCAAGCACAACGATGACGAGCAGTATGCTTGGGAGTCATCAGCTGGGGGCTCGTTCACTGTGCGAACTGACCACGGTGCGTATCGTACAAAAATCCAAGCAGGCTTTCCTGCCAGCAGCACCTTCTGCTGGTGCTCCCTAGGGCCGTGCTGCACTGTCAGTCACGCTGGTTAATGCTGCCTGTCACATAATGGTTAGGCTGGAGGAGCTGGTCACGCTCGCTCTCTGCCCTGGAACGTTGATGTTTCTCTCCCCACGCTGCAGGTGAGCCCATTGGACGTGGCACCAAAGTGATCCTGTACTTGAAGGAGGACCAGACTGAGTACTTGGAGGAGCGTCGTGTGAAAGAGGTGGTGAAGAAGCACTCCCAGTTCATTGGCTACCCCATCACGCTCTATGTACGTAAGGAAAGGACTGTGGGGACCAGGTGGAAGGCTGGAGGCAGGGGTGGTGGTGTTTGAACAGGAGCACAGAATAGGCCCAGAGTATGATCCCTTCTGGTCCCTTGTGTAGTTACTGGGTACTGAGCAGTGGTGCTCTCAGCTTCTGTGGCCAAAGGTGGTTTGAGGCTGGGGGCTTACTGGAGGTGAAGGAGGTGGGATAGCCACACTAAAGGCCTTTGATCTTGCCGCTGAAGATCATCTGAAATCAGCCATGGGAAAAGGAGGGTTCCTGCCACTTTTCTCAGGCACAGCTTTTGGTTGCATGATGAAGGGCTTTTGAGGACTGGTTCCAAGAGCTTTCATTGCAGATGATGCATTTGTTTGGCCTTGGAGGATACCATTTTTCTCATCTAGAGCTAAAGGATTCCTGGTAACTTCAGGCTAAACCTGACTATTGTTTCTTTCTCCGCAGCTGGAGAAAGAACGTGAGAAAGAGATCAGTGATGATGAAGCAGAGGAGGAGAAAGATGAGAAGGAGGAAGAGTCAGTGTCCAAAGATGAAGAGAAACCCAAAATCGAGGATGTGGGCTCTGATGAGGAGGAGGAGGGAGACAAAGGCAAGAAGAAAAAGACCAAGAAAATCAAGGAGAAATATATTGACCAGGAGGAGCTGAACAAGACCAAACCAATTTGGACCCGCAATCCTGATGACATCACCCAGGAGGAGTATGGCGAGTTCTACAAGAGCCTCACCAATGACTGGGAGGACCACTTGGCTGTCAAGGTGGGTCTGGGCTACCCTGCCTTCCAGGGAGAGGCAAAGGGCCCTTTTCCAGCCCTTATCCAGAGTCAGCACATGGTTGTGCCTCTGTGGGACTGGGCACTCTCAGGCCGCTTGGTGATGGAGCAGCCTGCCCTGTGACTCCCATGCAGGTGGAAGGATTGGCAGTGCCAGTCCATAAGCAAGACAGGAGGATGTGGGGTCTCACAGAAGCACTGATTCCTCTGTCCTCTGCTGTATGCCAGAGAACCTTGGCACATAGGGGATAGTGGGCCTGAGCAGGAGGAAATGCAGGTTGCTTGGATGCTGTGCCCCCTTGCCATCCCATGCTGAGGAGTGGCAGTTCAGCTTTCCTGCTGTGGGAACTGGGGAAGGGAGAAGTGAAAACACCCCAGCAGCTGTTTTTTTTTTCCTGGTTCCACAGCACTTCTCTGTGGAAGGGCAGCTGGAGTTCAGGGCCCTGCTTTTCATCCCACGCCGTGCCCCTTTTGACCTCTTTGAGAACAAGAAGAAGAAGAACAACATTAAGCTGTATGTGAGGCGGGTCTTCATCATGGACAGCTGTGACGAGCTCATCCCTGAATACCTGAGTAAGAGCCCCCTGCCTCAGCCTCCCAGTGCAGGGCTGGAATCCCCACAGCCCGTGGTACCACTTCCAGTACAGAGCGACTGGATGAGGCGCTGGCTGGTGTGGGTGCATAGCAGTCAGTGTTTTAGTTCTTTTCCTTCTGTGTTGGAGCTCAGAATCCTTAACCTGACACCTCTTTTCCTTCCCCCTATGCAGACTTCATCCGGGGTGTTGTGGACTCAGAGGACCTTCCTCTGAACATTTCTCGTGAGATGCTCCAGCAGAGCAAGATCCTCAAAGTGATCCGCAAAAACATTGTGAAGAAATGCTTGGAGCTCTTTTCTGAGCTGGCAGAAGACAAAGAGAACTACAAGAAATTTTACGAAGCTTTTTCCAAGAATCTGAAGGTGAGTTGGGCACCCTACAGCTGGAGGAGGGAAGGGCCCGTGACCCATCTGCCTGAGGAGCAGTCTTGTTCCTCTGCTGTGTCTCCTCTGCATGGATGTTAGGATAAAGGGAGTGGGTCTTGCGAATGCCTCGGAGTGCCTTTGTGGGCCTCAGTGCCAGCCAAGTGCATCCAGGTCCTATCCTGGAGACTTCATGCATCTCTTCCACCCCCAGTTGGGCATCCACGAGGACTCCACCAACCGAAAGCGCCTTTCGGAGCTGCTGCGGTACCACACGTCGCAGTCGGGCGATGAGGTGACTTCGCTCTCGGAGTACGTGTCCCGTATGAAGGAGAACCAGAAGAGCATCTACTACATCACAGGTGAGCCAGAGCTCCTCTGAGCCTAGCAAGGCAGAGGCAGGTAACATCCATACGGACCCTAATTTAAAACACTTTAAAACAGCAGGTCATCCCTGATGAATCGCAGCTCATTCCTGGGGGCTGGGGAAAGGGCAGCAGCCCTAGAACCCTGGCTGCTGCCAGTTTTATTTTATGGGTCCCAAGTGCCTGGTGGTGTTTGTCCTGCTGTAACCAGCTCTTACCTCTTGGTGATGTTTCATTTCTACCCTCCACAAACGCAGGGGAGAGTAAGGAGCAGGTCGCTAACTCGGCCTTTGTGGAGCGCGTGCGGAAGCGTGGCTTTGAGGTGGTGTACATGACAGAGCCCATCGATGAGTACTGCGTGCAGCAGCTCAAGGAGTTTGATGGCAAGACCCTGGTATCAGTCACCAAAGAGGGGCTGGAGCTGCCTGAGGATGAGGAAGAGAAAAAAAAGATGGAGGAGAGCAAGGCCAAGTTTGAGAACCTCTGCAAACTTATGAAGGAAATCCTGGACAAGAAGGTGGAGAAGGTGAGATGGGCAGGGAGCTTAGGCCTGTGCTGGAGGGAGGAGGGCTGGGTCCTCCGTGCTGCAGGTGAGGGCCCCCGCTCAATGCATGCCTCTCATCTCCTGCAGAGGAGCCGCTAGAGGAGACTGGAGGTCCCAGCATGCACCATCTTGCTCTAAGCAGCCAGGCTGCAGGCGAGGGGCACTGACCCAAATACGTGCATTGATGGGAGAGGGTAAGTGTGGGAAACATGCAGTGGGTGCTCTAAGTGCTGGCTGAGCTGTCCAAATTAGTCTGTAGCAGTCCTGGAGCTGCTTGGAGCATCTCTGCTTGCTTTGGGGTGTCCCCAAGTGAACCAGGGGCAGGCTTGGGCTGTAGTGTGCTGTGGCTGGGCCCAGTCCAGGGCTGTGGGGGGCCTTGCTCAGCTAACCCTTGGCTGTGTTGGCAGGTCACCGTCTCAAACCGGCTGGTCTCGTCTCCCTGCTGCATCGTCACCAGCACCTACGGCTGGACAGCCAACATGGAGCGCATCATGAAGGCTCAGGCACTGCGGGACAACTCTACCATGGGCTATATGATGGCCAAGAAGCACCTGGAGATCAACCCTGACCACCCAATTGTAGAAACCCTTCGCCAGAAGGCTGATGCTGACAAGAATGACAAAGCTGTTAAAGATCTGGTGGTGCTGCTCTTTGAGACTGCTCTGCTGTCCTCTGGTTTCTCCCTGGAAGATCCCCAGACCCACTCCAACCGCATCTACAGGATGATCAAACTTGGGCTTGGTGAGTATCCATGAACTTCCCATGCTGCAGCAGGCCTGAAAGCACATTACCTGGTCAGGCTAGTGTCTTGGGGCAGGGGAAGCCAGAAGGGAGCCATGCTGCTGTGATGTGCTGAAGTGGCTCTGAAAAGGTGGCCAGGAGAAAGTGTAAGCCTGGAACAAGGTACTTCAGGAGGGCTGAGGGCTCTGGGTGGACTGCCCTGTCCTCCCCAACACCAGGAGCTACCACGATGTTCAGATGACAAGCTGAGGGTTTTTATTCCTTCAGAGTAAATGTGAAAAGTCTGTCATGGGTCATGTGACCCATCTGGAGAAACAGCTTGTGCTTGCACACAGCCTTTTCCTCCAAATTCACCATTTAGCTAAAAATATAAATCAGAAGGTGCTGTGGCTTGGCACAACTAAGTTAGTAACTCCGTGCTGCCTAGTCTCAGTAGGAGTAGGGTATTCTGATAGTCAAGGGGGGACTGTATGGTAATACAATTTTCTGTTCAGAGTACACTGAAACAGAAACCTGCAGGGTTGGAAAATGACGAGCTCTAGAGTCTTGCAACTGCTTTAGTTGTGACTTGACTGGATTTGTTGCATTTTTCTCTAGAGAAATGGCTTAAACCACATTCTCCTGGCCTAAACTCCAGGTTTTGTGGTGCTGGGTAATAAGTCTTTTGTAGTTAATCTTAATTGGTTGAGGAGTGCACTCTAAGAGCATAGGTAGTATCCATACTGGTGTAGATGTTACTGGGAAGATGCTACTGATTCAGGGTTAGTGCTAGAGTTGACAATAATGTGTAACAATGTTGACTTGCAATTACTATTTTTAGCCCGGAGGAAGGGAGACTGAGGTGACCTCACTGCAGTGTACAGCCTCCTCACCAGGGGAAGCAGAGGGGCCTGCATTGCTGTCTTCTCTGTGGTGACCAGTAACAGGACCTGAGGGAACATCATGAAGCTGTCAGGAAAGGTTTAGGTTGGATATTAGTTAAAGGTTTCTTACCCAGAGAGTGGTTGGCCAAGGAACAGACTCCCCAGGGAAGTGGTCACAGCACCAAGCCTGCCAGCATTCAAAAGTGTTTGGATAACAGTCTTGAGGCACATAGTGTGATTGTTGGGGTTGTCCTGTGTAGAGCCAGCAGCTGGACTTCAGTGATCCTTGTGGGTCCCTTCCAAATCAGAATATTCTATGATTCTGTGAGCTATTGGATGCTAATAGCCCCATTCCTCAGGCTGGGGGCAAGAGCCAGGTTTACTCTGGGGCAGGCTGTGGGATTAGATGTCATTTGGAGACTTACCTCTTCCTTTCCTCCCCTCTCCCAGGCATAGATGAAGATGAGGTGGCTGCAGAGGAGCCCAGTGCAGCTGCCCCTGAGGAAATCCCCCCTCTGGAGGGAGATGAAGATACATCCCGCATGGAAGAGGTAGACTAAAGGAGGAAGGCTCTTCCTTCACCTGCCAGACCTCTGCTCTATCTAGATGGTCTGCTCCCACCAGCTGCTACTGACTTCTTGGTGGTGTCTGTTCTTGTGGCTCTGTTTGGTTGGGCTTGTTTCTGGCAGGGCGCAGGAGGGCATGATTCCCTGTTTGTTAGTAGTGATTCAGGTAGCCTGAGCCTGTCTGTTCTGTGTCTTTCTGCTTGTGTAGAAACAGCTGATGGGGAGTGGAGGTGTGAGGAGGCATCAGGCTTCCCCTCTCTCCCCTTCATGGAGTGTCCCATGTTACCAGTAGGCATCAAACACTGTCCTTATTCCACTGGGGTGGGAGAGCCCTTGCTCCAAACTGCTGCCTCCCTGAAGCCCCAGGATAGCATAATGTATTTTGGTTGGGTTTTGTTTGATTATTTTTCTGGAATTTTGTTCTACTGGAATTAAAGAATTGATGATTTACGTGGTGGGGTCCCTTGTGTTTCATACCTACTCTGCTGAGGAAAATGTCTCCCCTGTGCTCTGAATGCTTGTCGAGCCCTGCTTCAGGAGATCTTTATCTCTCCCATGCCCTGGAAAGATGAAGTGGGTGGAAAGAACACATGACCTGCTGTGCAGGTGGGGTGATCTCCAAAGAGCTGTTCTCCACCTGGAGAGCTGCATGCCCCCCAGCCTGGGAGCAAATTTCCAATCTGAGTGGGTCAGCTGGGTGAGCTGTGCCAGGGCCTGAGCCTGGGCTGCTGCTGGCTGGTTTGATCTGGGCACCTTTGGGGCAGGACAGTGGCAGGAGCCATCTGCCCGTTCATTGCAGTGTGGAGCAGGCTGTGGAGTGACAGCTTGGCACTGTAGTCAAGCTGCCTCTCTTCAGCTGTTGGGCCAAAGACTCAGCTCCTTTCCTGCCACCTCCAGCCTGCCCTTTCTGGCCTCCTGCAGCCATTGGGCAGTATGTGGCTTCTTTCCATCTGTGTCCTAGATGGGAAGCCTGGGACAGCACCTCTGAGCTGCCCCTTGCACTGAGCTCACACTCTGAGGTTTGTCACCCCTGGCCACAATGGCCCTTGGTGTTTGTCAGAGAAAAGTGACACCAGCATTAAGTTCTCTTGCTGCCCACATGCCAGCTGCCACAGGCACACAACAGAATGGGCTTTAGCCAGTATCCATCTTCAACAGGGAGGCAGAGCCTGCTGGAATCCTTGCTGCACACCAAGACACTGACTGTGCTGCCAGTGTGGCTGCTGTGTGGGTGCAGCCTGCTAGGGCAGTGGAGCTGAGCTAGCAAATTGTTTAAAAGCAGGACTTCTCTCTCAATAGGCAAGTGCTGCCAAATAATGAATCAATAAAAATTAACTTTTTAAGTTAATCCCCTGGGTTTTCTTTTTCCACTACTGTTTTGTTCAAATCTACATTTAAATTTGAAAGGTTATCCCATTGTATACCATTCCTAACTTGGCAATGTGGATTTTTGTTGTGTTGTTTTTAATCAAAGGAAATCACATTCCATTTTCAGTCTGTCAGCAGATGGTGAGTACAGACATTTGGGTGAATTTGTAGGACAGGATGAAAAGCTGTGAGGTTGCACAGGCACCTCCAAAAGCTCAGAGCTAGAAAAGGAGCACTGGTAAAACTTCTGGAGAGTGAAATGCTCTGAAGCCTGGGCTGTCCTCAGCACCAGCTCTGGTATCCCTCCAGGCTCAGCTACGTCACCACTATCCCTAGTCTCCTCCTGTGTTTCTCTTGTAACCCTCACCTGAGTGTCCCCTTTTCCTAGCTGTGTTAGGCCCCAGTCCTGTCTCTGACCCCATGTTCACCCTTGCCTACAGCTTTTCACCAGGCCTGCCACACGTACCAGGAGGATGGACCATCCCCACATCAAGCCTCTCCTGGCTCTGGCTGCTGCAGTACACCCCACAAAGTGCTACAGCACAGGTGGCCCTGGCTGGCAGGTGCTCAGCAGCCTTCTCTATCACCTCTTGGTAGCTACACCCACTGGGAATTCCTGAAGTTGCACCATGCAGAGAACTTAGGAGCCAAACTAGGCTCAGGCTAATGGCTCCTTCATCTGCCCACCAGCATAAGCAACATTCCAAACCTGGCTGTGCTCCCCAGTTGTGCAAGGATCTCCTGTCAGGCCTTGCAGCTTTGAGTGCAACCCTGGTTGATACCAGCCTTGGCAAAGACAGAGAGAGGCACCTGTATTTGTAAAGACAACTCTGCTGTCCCAGAGAGACTAGGGACACAGGAAGAGTTGGAAATCTCTTCCCTCCTTGCAGGTACATGGAAAAAAAACCCCACATTTACACCCATGGCACTATATGCAGCATATTTTTAATTTAATAAAATAAAAAGAGAAAAAAGTTGCCTTGCAAAAGTACCAAAACCTGCTGGTTTGTCAGTCAGGTTGTGTTGACGAGAAAAGATTGACCAATAAAACCCAGGCTTCTGGGGAAGAACAGCTTTCACTGCTCCATCCCCTGCTGTCTGTGGAGCTGGAACAAGGCACCGCAAGCGGGCTCTGCCCCATGTCCCAACCCTCCAGGCACAGGCTCCGGCCAGCCCTGGGAAAAGCAGGGCCAGTGCCTCCAGGTGGCAGGAAAAAGAGGGCTTGTTGTGCTTGTCTGAATGGGAACTGCAAAGCCCAGAAACCATGGCACTGAGGGACCCCCGAGGCAGTGCTGGGACTTCTGGGCAGTGCAGCCTTTGGCCTGTAACAGCAGCAGATGTAACCAAAATACAGCCTCGAAGGACTCAGCAAGCCTTGGGAACTGTCCAGCTCAGGTACTGCATAAAAATCAGCCTGGGCTGAGGGGGCCAAAGAAAAGTGTCCTGGAGCAGGGGTTAAGAATCGATAAAACCAAAGTGGGAGGTACTGGCTTTCACTGCAGTGCCCTCCCAGAGCAGATCCCAGGCCTGGGGTAGGACAGGCTGGGAGTCCTTCCCTTGGCTGTGCCTGTACTACCCAGAGCCCCTCCTGGAATGGAGGAAGAGCACTCCCCACCCTTCGATGGGCTCAGCCTGGGACCTGCCTCACTCAGAGGTGTTTCAAAAAGAAACCTAGTGTTTTGCTTGCCCTTTCCTCCTGCCAAGCTCTGTAGTACTAACAGAAATGGAGGAACATTAGCCAGAGGCAAGACACTGTCGGGGAAGAGCTCCCTTGTTCATCAGTGACTTTGGGGAGAAGCCACGAGACAGAGGTGAGGCAGGAATACCAGCAGCCCCATGCTGGTGTGTCCCCAGGCTTGTGCCTTGGCTGTAAGTCTTTGACCTCTTAAGGCAAATGGAAAGGTTTGGAGCTGCGTCAGCCCAGAGCGTTTCCTGGGCTTGTTCCAGCCCCTTTCCCAGGAAAAGCAGGTGGAAAACTGAGTCACTGGTCCTGCCTATCCATACCCCACTCTTCTCAGTGGGCTGTGAGAAATCCAGCAAATACCCTTGAGTGGGGGTAGGACAGCAGGCATGGCTTAAATGCCATGGCCTCAGCTTCCTTAGACCTTTTGTACAGGGGTCTCGCCCGGCGGGAGCTTCTTACTGCGCTTCTTCATGCGGCTGCGGGCGTAGACACGGAGAAAGAGGGCCATGAAGACAACGGCTATGCCCAGCCCACCCACCACAGTGACAGTGTGCCCGTAGATGAGGCAGGAGAGGAGGATGGCAAAGGCCTGGCGGAGTGTCATGATGATGGTGAAGACGGCTGCCCCGAACTGGTTGATGGTGTAGAAGATGAAGAGCTGGCCGCAGGCGGAGCACACGGAGAGCAGCACGGCGTGGGCGGTGAACTCCGAGTGGCGGGCCATGAAGCGCAGCGACTCCAGCAAGGCACCCTGCTCCACCAGCGAGCCCACAGTGAAAAGGCAGGAGAAGACGTTGACACCAAACATCATCTGCACCGGAGACATCTTGTAGGTGAAGAGAGCGTCCTGCCAGTTGGAGGTGAAGCTGTCAAAGATTATGTAGCCAGCCAGGAGCACTATGCCAGAGAAAGTGGTGACAGTGGACACCGTCCTGTTAGGAGCGCTGGAGAGCAGGAACATGCTGACCCCCACGGAGATGAGGGCAGCAGTCAGGTACTCCCAGTACTCGTAACTCTTGCGCGACACCAGTTTGCCCATCATCATCACTGGGATCACTTTGGAGGCCTTGGCCAGCACTTGGGTGGGGAAGCTGATGTATTTGAGTGCCTCATACTGACACCAGCTGCTGAGGATGTTGGAGAGGGAGGCAAAGGAGTATTTGTACATGGGAGCCCCATGGCGCGGCTGCTTGGTCAGGGCACAGTACAGACCAGCCACTGTGAAGGCCAGGATGCGGTTCATGAACACGAGGAACTGGGAGTCCTTGAACTTTTCTCCAGGGTCTGTTTCAGTGGCACCATACGTTCTCGTCATCACACGCTCCTGGAGGACACCCCATGTGAGGTAGGAAACCTGCAAAGCAGCAGGAGCACAGGGGGAGTCAGGACCCACAGCAGCAGTTGCCAGCAGTAACAGGAAGAACAGACCCCAGGAGACCCTTGCTTTCCCCAGAGCTGCTCATCCTCTGCATGGCAATGCTTCCCTGAGACACTGGGAGATGGGACCACCCCACTCCACCCATCTGAGGGAACCTGCTGTCCCATGTGGTTATAACCAGGAACATCCTGTTCCAAACCACACCTGCTCAGTGGACAGGGGAGAAAAGCCCACAATGCAAACATCCTGGTGACAGTGAGCAGTTATGCTTTGAGCTACTTTAAGCCTGTGGAACCAGACTGACTGAATCAGGGAGCATTACTGATACAGTGCCAGCTCCCTGCGGCAACTCCTGGCAGTTTTCCCAGTGGCCTCTGCATTGGTTTTCACTTCCAGCTCCCTAGGCCTGGTTTTTACATCCAAATCGATTCTAGTTTCAAAACCAGCAGACAAAATTGTCCATGAGGGATGATCACTGTCTTGGTTGTCATGTCCACTACTTTTGGTGCAGCAACACCAAGCCCCTCACAGAAATAACAGACTTCCTCTTATCACACATCTCCCAAGAAAGTAAGACACAGAGAGATGGAAGAATTTGGTGGCCCACAGCATGTCTGAATGGGCTGGGGAGTAGGCCAGGGAGTGAGTAGTTTCCTGGCTGCAGGACACCTGGGTTTTTCTATCTCAGTGTCCACATTGCTACTTTTTGTCCTTACAGACCAAAAAAGTTGCCCTTCCTAATGATGCTCAGGCTGTAGCTGAGACTTGGGGAATCTAAGATTTTGAATTCCTGTTTATCTGTAGCTGAATTAAGTATTTTCTCTCCAGTACTCAAATTCAATCCATCAAGGCAGAATGCAGCAGCACCAGACAGTGACCCATGGGAGAGCCTGGGATAAAAGAGGAGCTCAAACTATGTGCTGATCTGACATCAGAGCCAGAACAAAAGCAGCCTTAACAACCTGCTGAATCACAGAATTTTCAGAGGCTCTTGAGGACTGTGATCAGACAGCAGGATGCTCCAACCCAAAAGACAAACACTAAATGGACCTCCACAGCTCTTGGAGGTGGACTGTCCTGTCCCAGCCTCCAACCCTGCCTTGATCAAGGACAGCACTGCATGCTTGGTCCTCAAGGAACTGACAGTCACTAACCCACTGGCCACTTCCTCATTCCAGAATGGGACAGCCACACATGCACAGGACCCCTACCTGTAGGCCAACAGCACAGAAGAGCAGCTTGAAGACCTGTCGGGCTGTGGAGGACTCTGTGGGCTCTGCTCGGGGTGGCAGGGAGCCATCGTCCTGATGTACAGACTTCACCTCAGAGCCAAACACGCATGATTTGATGACAGGGAAGCAAATGCCTCGGCCTGCACAGGGGAAGAGAAGATGGAGACACAATTAACCACATCCTGGGCACCACATGCTGCACCAGCTTGAGAGGTGAAGCCTCCCTCCTCACTAGCCTCCAGATCTGCTAGCATGGGGGCCTCAGGGAAATTTGTTTCAGGATAGCAGCTGGACAGCACTGGGACACAGCTCTGTGAGAGGCTCAAGCCTGACAATGCAGGTTGAGGAAGGGGGAAGGGAAGCTCCTGCTCTCACCTGTCTCCAAGTAGTTCCTTCTCTTGAAGTACTGGATGAGGAGGAAGCCTGGTACCACAATACTGGCATAGCCAGCAGCATTAACAAAGAAGCGGAAGAGCCAGAAGTCCCCCCAGGAGTCCTGCAGGGCAGGGGCAATCTCTTCACCTGCAGCCATCGCAGGGAGGGAAGCCAGCAGGAGGGGAATGCAAAATCTGCAGAGAGAGAAAGAGGCAGGTGGGGGTGGGCTGCTGGTGCACGGCAGCTCCACTCCACATGCCTGTAATACCCACATCCAGCCTGATCCTCATCACCTGTAATACGGCCTCCCAGACCCCACTGCAGCAACAACAGTGATGCTGGCAGCTCAAGAGTAGAAAGAGTCCTCTAGAGATGAAAAGCACAGGCCAGGCATCTGTGTTTGCTTCTGCTAAAGGTGGTTGCTCTGGAATATGTGGACTTAGAACCCTGGATTCCTAGGATTAGAGGGAACACTGCTGTAACCATCTGCTTTTGACTACACTCTTACTGCAAATGTAAGGAGCACCTCAGACCTCACCTTTATAAGTTAAACTTTAGCAGTTTTGGGGTGGAAATGGAAAAGGTCACTGAACAAAAGAATTTACTCCTACCTAGAAGCTCATGTTTCAAGCCTGTGGCTATGAGCAACCTTCCTCTGGAAGCAAACAGTTCAGAGCTTTCCTCTCCAGCTACGCCAGGTGAGTGGATGAGAGGCAGGGTTTGGGGCTGTTAGCCTCCCCCACCTCCCCATGCAGCCCTGGAAGTGTGCCAAGGCATTCCTCACAGCTCAGAGGAAATTATCAGGGTTCACCCGCTTGGCAAAACACAGCCAGAAAGAAAGGCTGGAAAGGAACTTTCCTACCAGCTGCCTGGTTGGGATTTTACCAGGACTGTGCAATGAGGTATAGCTGATATTCTTCAGCTGTAGCTGTAGGAAGTGATCTAGCCAGCTTTAAAACAGTTTTAATAGTCCTTGAAGGAGTTCTTCCCTTCACTGTCCTCTCTCTCACAAAGGCAAACCTTCAATATTCAGAGGCACCAGGTACTCAACAGAATGAGCACGCAGGCAAAAACTTCCTACACCCAAGGCCACCTGCATCCTCCCCTCACAAAGCAAACTGCAGATTCCTGCATCAGGGTAGAACATTTCCCTGGTCCCTGCTACATCCCTGCTCCAGTTCCCTCAGTTGAAAAAGCCTCCCAGTTGCCTTGGGGACCAGGTGACAGTGCTGTGGGCTGGCTACATAAACACACACCAGAAAAGCTCCTGTGACTGAAAGGGACAGAGATGTAAATTCCTCCTCTACCTGAAACAAGTGAGTCAGAGAAATTTAGGCCCTATTTAGCCTTGTACCTGGCCCCAATGTTGTATAACTGTGACCTCTAGTAGTCCCCACACAAAACTCAGAAATTTACAAACTTAGGGACTTTACTTAGAAATTCACAAACTCTAAGGACTTTAAAGGCAAGAAAGTCCCCTACCATTTCATGAGCAAGCACTCCCATCAGCCTCTTGGCCCCTTGGAAAAGACCTCAGGGACTTTTCTCATCCTCAGCTACTGTGGCCAGGCCCTTGGAGTTCAATAACCTGACCAAAGCTGAGTCTGTGTTTCACCCAGAAAACTCCCTTCTGTGACTTAAAAGACAGAAATTTCCAGACCAGGGAGAGGTGCACATGGCTGGGGGTGGATTTCTTTGCCTGCTTCCTACTCCTCTGTCTCCCCTCTCCCCTGGAAAAGACAGTCTGACACCTCCCCTCAATCTCTCCTGCTGCAGGGGCATCATCACAGGCTGTACAGATGCTGTGTGATGCAAAATCAGGGCTCAGTGCTCACAGCTGGGGCTGAAGCTGCTCATGTGCTCCTGGGTTTGTCTGTATTAACTGTGGCTGACGGTGGGGTGCAGAAACGCCGTTCACTTTTGCAGAAGTCAGATATAAATGACAGGGTCTGTTGCCACATTTGCAACTTGAGAGGGACTGCAAGCTCCGTTCAGCACGATTGCGCCTGCTGTTACCCTGCCAGCTCCTGCAGCGCTGCCATGGGAGGAGAATCAGCTCCGCTCTCCCACAGCGACCGTGAAGAGGAGGCTATGGAGGCACAATGGCTCTCTATGCCTGCGCTAGCAATTCCCAGGCCCCGAGAGCTGACTCAGTGCAGCAGCCCCTGCCCTCTCTGCCGAGGCTGGGAAGGAACAGGGACGCCAGTGTTACAGGTAGAAAGCGGGGGGGCTGAGCAGGCAACATGCTGAGGCATGAAAGGAGCCTTATTCTGCGGAGCAGCCCAGGAGCCGAGACAAGAGAGCCGGCCGCTGCTCCCCTGGGCACTGCGAGGGCAGCTCTCAAAGGCGGAGAGCTTCTTCAGAGCCGGGCTGGCACCCAGCCCCCTGCCTGGGATGGACAGTTGGGGTCCCGGCTCTGAAAAAGATCCCTGATACTCTTAGGCGCGCCTCCAGCGCCTGGAAGGGCTGAGGTCAAACGCAAGCTTGGAGCTGACAAGCCCATACTAACATCTCGGGATCTCGTGTCTGCTCCCTGTCCCTGTCCCTGTCCCCGCACGCAGCCGGGTCGCAGGGGCTGCCTGCCCCTGTCCCCGCAGGGCGGGCGGCCGCCTCTGCCCAGGGGCCACCGGCAGAGGCACGGGCTGCCCGCCGGCCGTGGGGCACCCTCCGCCCCGGGCACGGGCGGGGCTCCCGGCAGGGGAGAGCCCCACGCTTGCCGCTCCGGGCTTCTCCGCCCGAGGCTCCGGTGCCCCGCGGGGCAGCAGTGTGCGGCCGGGTGCGGGGCGAGCGTGCTCCCGGCGCCGCCTCCCTGCCCGGCGGCCACGTTCGCAGCGGCGGCGCCCGGCGGGCGCGCTGCGCGCCCCACAGCGCCCCTGCCGCTCCGGAGGGAGCGCGGCGGGCCGCGACCGCCTGAGCACAGAATCCATCGGCTTGGAAGAGACCTGAGACCGTCGAGCCCGAGCTACGACCGAACACCACCATCTCAACTAGACCATGGCACTGAGTGCCACAACCTTAAGTCTTTCCTTAAACACCTCCAGCGAAGGTGACTCCAACACCTTCCTTGGCCTGTCTATTCCAATGTCTCATCGCCCTTTCTGTAGAGAAATTCCTCCTACCATCCAACCTAAATTTCCCCTGGCACAACTTGAGGTTATGTCCTCTTGTCCTGGCACTGTCTGCCTGGGAAGAAAGGCCGATCCCCACCTGGCTACACCCACCTTTCACCGGGGTGCAGAGAGTGACATGGTCTCCCCTGAGCCTCCTTTTCTCCAGGCTAAACACTCCTAGCTCCCTGAACAGCTCATCGTAGGGCTTTTGCCCCAAACCCTTCCTTCACCAGCTCTGTTGCCCTTCTCTAGACATGCACCAGCATCCTCTTGAAGTGAGGGACCCAGAGGACACAGGACAGGATGGGAGGCCTCACAAATGCAGAGGGACAATGATTTCCCTAGTCCTGGTGGCCACACTATTCTTGATTCAAGCTAAAAGCCTTCAAAGCTGACCCCCAGCCCCATCCCTGTCTCACGTTAGCCCCTCTGAGCTGCCAGCCCTGCACTGGGCACAGCCACAGCTGGTCCCTGGGGCAGGTGCTGCAGGTCAGTATGGCACCTACCGCAGCCCCAGTCCCAAATCCCCTATCCCAGCCCCAGGCACGGCTGCAGGGCCGCCTGGAGCCAGCATGTGGCCACGCAGTGATGTTTTACAAGACACCTTTTTAAAACAAACAGTTTTATTTTAAAATAACAAAACAAAAAAAGTGCAGATCACTTTTTTCTGCCTTTGCCCTTTGCTCCCAGCTACAGCCCAGGCCACACCATCCCACACTGCCCTGCAACATCTGTCTTTGCTTCTTTGGGCAGCCTGGAAGTGCCTCATGTCCCTTGTGAAAAATGTCCTTGAAAGAGCCCCATGGGTTTGCATCACGGTTGAGGCCCTGCCAGAAGGTGAGAGGCAAAGATTCCAAAGAAACAGAGCAATCCAGCCCAGGAGTCTCCCGGCTGAGGAGACCAGGCAGGGTCCAGAGGCCTGGGGGGTCCTTATGTTGCTTTCCTGGCAGCATTCCCTTACAAGGGAGGAAGAAGACAAGAGCTCACTCCAGAGCATCCTGGTCGATTGCACCATCCAGTATTTGTCCCAAACAATAGCAGCTGCTCCCAAGCAACAAGTGAGGAATCTTCCTGGCTGAGATGGGGTAAGTCATCTTTGCCTCCATTCCCACAGCACCTTTGGCTGATTTCCTAATGCACTGCATGTGCTCCTCTGGCTGGAAAAGTAAGTGGCAGGGAAGGGTGGTGAGCTGAATAACCAAAGGGATGGGAAGATAATGCTGCCACCTCTTCCACTTTCAGCCTGGGAGGATCTAAAACCCAGGGAAGACCCACACCCTAAGCTTTTTAACCCCCTTCCAAGGCAAGAGAGGGGGCAGGATCTTCCTGTCCTCTGTGAAAGAGGAAACAACAGCACAGCAAAGCAGCAAGGTGTCAGGCACAATGGCAGAAGCAGGGATCCACAACCCAGTCTTCAGCATCTCCTATCTCAGCTCTTTCTCCTGTCAGGTGTTCAGCAAGACAGCATGGGAACAGAGCACCTTGCTGGGATGCCCTGAGCACCAGAAAGGCTCTGCAGGTGGGGAAGGCCCTGTGCTCCCACTCACCCTCTGCGGTGTGCAGGACCTGAGGGAGCAGGCTGGGGAAAGCCCCGAAGCCCTCAGGTCCCCAAGCCCCCGCAGTGATGTGCAGTCTCCTGCTGTGGGGTGGGTTAGATCACATGAGGCCTCTGGTGCCCACAGCAACAACATTTATTAGAGTGAGGGTTGACTCTCCTCACCCCACACTGATTCTGATGGGGTGCCAGACGATGCTCTGTCCGACCTACAGTGTGAAAATGAGTCCTCTCCTGCTCCTTCCCTGTGCATGCTGGAGATCCCCACAAGTCATACCCATGGCAGGGAGGGGAAATTCAGTCCTGCTGCAGTGCACAGATTCTAAAAGAAAAGCATCCCCTGTGTAGTGCTCATAATGCCACCTTCTTCCATCTGGGAAGGCAGCCTGAGGCAAACAAAACTCTTCCAAAGAGGGGAGGGGCAGTGGGGCAAGTCCCCCAGAGTGTCTCTGCTCCCACTGAACTGCAGGCAGAGAACATCCTAGTGGGCAGCAGGCAGCAGCACAGAGGAAGGAGGCAGCCCAACGGGCCAAAGGAGTCCATCTGCTCATTCAGAGCACACAACAGGCTTCCCTGAGATCTTCAGGTCATCGAAGGGCAGCAAGGCAAGGAGCTGCAAAGACCAAGGGTATGGACATTCAGATTTGTGTCTTCACCAAGCTGGGGTAGGGGCCCAAATGTTCCTCCCACCCAGTCCTCCAGCCTCCCATGTCCCCAGGGAAGTGCCCTATCTAGGCTTTTCCTAGGGCTCGAGGCAAAAGGCAGTTATCCCACACATCACAGAGCCAATGCTTACAACACACAGGGAAGAATAGGAACAGCTAGAAACTCCTCCTAGGAGGGTCCCTCTAATCATCCAACTCCCGCACCCCCTGACACACTTGCGCAGAGCCACAGGCTTCCCCCACAGACTCACATCATCGTTGCCATCGGCCAGGTCCTGAGCTGTCTCGTTCTCCATGTTCCTCAGCAGGGTGTCAGCCCCAGAGTGTGAGAGGATGGCGGCGATGGCGGCATCCTTGCGGCCCACGGCCAGGTGCAGCGGAGTGCACCCGTTGTACATCTGGGCATCCACGAAGGCCCCCTTGTGCAGCAGGAACTGGACAGCCCTACGGTTGTGGCACTCCACAGCCAGGTGCAGCGGGGTCTTCCCGCTCGTGCCCTCCTGCAACCCACAGATCACAAGGGTGTGGGTGGGGGGTCCCCTCAGCTGGGCCCTGCAGCACCCACCCACACCCCTTTGACTGGGTGCAGAGGGCAGTCCCCACCCTGATTGCTGTCATAGCACCCAACAACCTCTCAAGGACCTTTACTCTCTGCTCCCTCAAAATTCAGTGCTCCCAAGCCTCACTAGAGTCTGCCCCAGGGCTGAAGGGAGTGCCCAAAGGAGAGACCCACCATCCCAGCCTTTACAAAACATCACACCATGCCCAGTCTTACCCGAACATCAATGTTGGCGCCGCTCTCCAGCAGCAGAGACATCATTTGGATGTTCCCTTTCAAGGTACTGATGTGCAGACAGGCCAAGCCTGTGATGGAGAGGCAGAAGAGAGCCACAGTGAGCACAGACCACCCTGAGGCACACCAATCCCAGCAGCATTCCCATTCTGCTGTGCTCCTGGACACGTGCATACACATCTCAGGGTCTCTGCCCTCATCTGGCCACCAGCTCTGCCCCTGCGCTGCCCCAGGTCTCACCTTGCCAGTTCTGGAGCTGCAGGTCCTGCTGGTGCCCACGGGGCTGAGCTGAGCCATCGGGCGTGGCTGGGCCCTCCAGCAGCTGCTGGGCACACTGCAGGTGCTGCTGCTCGCAGGCCAAGTGCAGAGGGGTGTTGCCATTACGGTCCTGCAGCCCGGGGTTCACTCCCTTGTGGATCAGTGCCTGGATCACGCTGGGCTGCTCCAGGTACACAGCGAGGTGGAGCGGGGTCTGGAGAGAAATTGGGAGAGGGGAGAGATGTCACCCAAGGGGTCCCCGGCTGGCTAATAAGTGATATAGACTTTATGATTTATAGAAGGTTGAATATATTTTTTTATTAAGAAACCCATACTTTTACACACAGTTATGATACAGCTGGACCTAATTGGTCCTCTCATTAAAATACTATCACTATTGGTTAATTAAGAAACTACTCTTTGGTAAAGAAATCTCTGTAACACGTTCTACATGTTCACAATACCAGGGTTAGTAAGTTAAGATAAGAATTGTTTCCCATTCTTTTCTCTGATCTTCCCACATCCTTTCCCAGAATGATGCCTGGGAAAGTTGTGTTTCTCTCTGTGGCCAGAGAGCTGTTGCCACAGGGGAGGATGCCCTGCAGGACACCAGGTATGCTGAGCCCACCAGTCTCCAGGAGCCAGCCTGGCAGCAAGAGCTGACAGCCACGCAGGACACAGTGACCCTGTGATGACATTACATGTGGCTGATGCTGGTGTGGTGACACGGCTTGCTGTTCCCTCACCTCAGCTCACGGATCACCCATGGAGACATCTCATTCTCCCAAGTTAATCTACCCTGCCACATTCAAGCCATGCCTCTTCCATGGCTGTCTGCAATGTCCTGGGGCCTTGCAGAGAAACTCTTCACCCCACAGTGCTGGGAGCTGTCACAGTTCTCTCAGGGTATCTCCACCTCCCTTCCTCCACTCCCTGCAAAGAGGCTGCACACACAGGACCTTCACCATGCTCTGGGGGAAGCAGGTCTGGGGTCCTGGGAAGGGGCAGTTGGATTGAGCAGCTATCGAGAGAACAGTCTCTGGCATTTCTCTTCCTCCCACCTTCTGCCTATCACAACAGCATACCTGGAAAAGATCATTTTGGATCTCCAGCACCTCCCTGGGTAGCTGAGCGATGCAGCAGAGTGCTACAGCTGGGACACAGTGGATAATGGCCAGATGAACCAACCTACGGGGGGTTAATGGTGACAAGAGAGAAAAAAAAAAGAAAATTAAGTCCCGAGTGCCATTCTCAGGAGCAGAGATCCTTCCCTGCTGCGTGAAGGATTAATCTCCCTGCTTCCTCCAGTCTCCCTCCCTCCAGCTTGGCGGTCCTCCATCTTGCCCTCTCCCTGGGGAAGCTCAGCAGAAGGCCGAGGCAGGAACACGGTCTGAGGCTCCACAGGGCAGTCATCCACTCTGATCCCCACAGGGAACAGACCCTCCTGTCCCTGCTAAGCAACACAGGGTCCTCCCTCAGACCCCACAGCATGTGTAGGGTTTCAACCTAGCACTGCCCAAAACCAGGCCTCCAAGCCTTTGGTGTAGGTCCAAAGAGCCTGGGATGTCTTTCCCAGAGTCCAGGAGCTGGGTTTGGTGGCTGTGGAGAGAGGTCTGGGTTCTGGCAGCTACCCGGGGAATTCCAGTTCCCTACTGCCAGCTGCACACTGTACTTCTGCTTTCCCCTCCACAAAGGCAAACAGTCAAAGCTGGGCAGGAGCCCAGGGCTGGCCCAAGATCACCTGCATGGCACAGTTCCTATGCCAGGTGATCTGCCGGTCCCACACGGATTTCCTCTTCTCTCCCCACATCCTTCCCTTTCAGCACTGTCGTGGCAGGGTGGCACGCAGCCCGCCAGCACAGAGGGACACCAGAGGTGCAGCTGTCATGGCTGGGTGGCAAGCAGGGAGCTGTGGTCCTCAGGACTGTGGTCCCCACAGCCACGGGGTGACCAGGCACCCGAGTCCCCCAGCCCAAGGACAGGTCTAATTTCCAGACACCCCCTGCACAGTCAGAAGAGAAGTGAGAGCACAACAGAGGCAGTGCTGAGAGGGAATTTCCAGTCCCGCCGCCAACCTCCTGTCTCCCAGGCCCCCTGCACTGAAGGGCCCATCCTCCCACCACAGGCAGACCCCACAGGCCAAACCTGGCCATGGTGGTCAGCAGGCAGCATCTCCCATGCTGCACAGCAGGGCAGGCATGAGCTCAGCCTCCTGACCCTCACCACTGCACTAGAGGCCCTGGGCGGCCTCTGTCTCTGGAAAGAACCAGCTCCAAACTGAAGGCTGGGCTCTGCCACCCATGCTGCTTTGATGGAGACTGACAGGGCCAAGAGATGGAGGGTGAGAGCTGTGCCAGCCCTGGCAAGACAGCCCACAGTCCAGATGGGATGCCCCCATCCAGCTTTGGGATGCCACCTGCAATGTGGGGTGTAGAGTGCTTCCCTGCACAGGCAGGAGAAGAGCACGGGGCCCTAAAGCACTGCAGACAAGAAGTGGGGCTGGGGCTCTTTCTGCCAGGTGCACTGGGACGTAAATGTGCTGAGAAGCTCAGAGGCCAGTCCCCAAGAATGCCTTTTATTGACCTCCTCCCAAGTCCTGCTTCAAGATCAAGCCACCATCTGGGACCCCAGGCATCTTCAGCTGGAAACCTGATTTTGAAGGCAAAATACATTCTACAGTTTCTGAAGGCCAGTTCCTCTCCACCCTGCTGCCGGGACAGGCTGTGCCCAGCAGGAGAGGCTTCCTCCCCGGGGAAGCCCCAGGGTATGTTGCAGCAGGGAATTCCCCACCGGAGGGGGAGGCCACCCACACTTTTTTGCCCCCTGACTGCCAGCACTCCCAGGGCAGGGGAGGGGCTGCAAGCAGGGGCCATGCAGCCCATGGGCAGGGTCTGGCCACCCTCCATGCCCATGAGGCAGAGGCACAGCCAAGGGGCCCAGCCCAGGAACACGGCAAGCAGCTGTAAGGACAGCCCTCCCCTCATCAGGCTTGTGCCAACCCTGGCGTAGGTCTGATCTGAGCAGGGAGGGTCCCTGCTGGGTTTTGCATCAGTCCCGTGGTAGCACCTCAGCTGAGGTGTCCTTTGCACTCCTGCAGGGACAGCCCCTGTTTCTCCAAACCTGTTCCCAGGCACCACGTGCGGGAAGAGGCTGCAGGATCTGCCTTTTTCAGGTACAGCAGAGTTAAGACTGCTCAAATAAGGGACTTTCCACGGCAATTCAGCTTGAACTTTAAACCGCTGGTGCTTTCGCTTTCCAGAGGCACGCTGGGCTCCCAGGGGAGAGCAGTCTCACGGCTGTGTCCCACGGCAGACAGCCCTCGTGCCCCAGGAATCCCCCGGGTCCCTCTGCCACTACCCACAGCACACTGCCCTGCCATGTGGGGACGAGTGGGGCAGTCACCCGGGGGAGAGGGAAACCCCCGAGCAGCCCTGTGCCACTGCCAGCACCTCGCTTTTCCTGGCTTGGCTGCCTCTGCAGCTCAACAAAGCAGTGGAGCCGCTCAGGGCTGGGCTGTCCCTGAGCCAGTGTGGGCATCCATGCTGCAGAGGCAACGGGAGTGACCATTCCCCCGGCCAGAGCTCCGGCTTTCCCCTCTCAGCTGGGATGTGCCCGCTTTGAAGGATTGCTTTCCCCCTCCCCCTTCCTTCTCCACCCGGATGCAGCCTCCTCCTGGGCTTTCATTTCTGCATTCGTTCCCGCCTTTCCTCATTATCAGCCCTCAACTTCCTGAAATGGCTGCAAGAACCCGAGCTGCTTGGGGGAATCATCACAGGGCCAGCGGGCTGGGAGGAGCCCACCATGAGCCCATGTGCCTGAGGCACTCTGTGCCACCGGCAGTGCTGCCAGCCAGGAACTGGGATTGTCTCCTAACTCAGGACACCTCTTACACCCAGGAGACCTGAGGTGCAGGCATTGTGCCAATCTCCACTTTTTTCCTACAAGCACACCTCTCTCTGTGTCACAGCAGCCGCGTGGTCCAGCTGCTGATGGGCTGCTGTGTGCCAGAGCCAGGGCATGGCGATGGCGAGATGCCCGCTCGCTGCCAGAACCTCTCCTTGCCCAGCCACAGCAGTGTGCCCTCGCCAGAACAAGCTCTCCACCCTGCCAAACTCAGATCCTTGCCCATCCCGGGCTGCACGTCTCCCATCTGCTTTCCTCCACTTGCCTGCCCCCTCCCTCCCCACGCTCTTGCTCGCAATGCTCCTGGCTGCAGCCACAGGGGGGGTGTCCAGCAGGAACTGTCAGAAAGGGCAGTAGGGGGTTTTGAAAAGGGCACGGGATGGAGGAGCTGTGAGCAAGGGAAACACAGCAGGAGTACAGACTGCTGGGCTCGTTCTCAGCTTTTCCACTTGCTCACCAGCTCCGTCCTGGCACAAGGGGACTCAACACTGTGAATCACAAAGGCATAGGACATCCCTGGCACAAAGTGATCTATCCATCATCAGAGAGGTAACAACCCTGGAGCAGAGAGGTTGGGGCTGTCCCTGGGGATATCCCAGGGAATGAACATGCCATGCCCAAAGTGGTCCTAGCTTAGGCACAGGAAAGCACCCATTTCCACAGTGCTGTCCATCTCCAACTTTTGAGTGACCTTAAGTCTTCAGTAGGAAAAGTTTCCACGCATGAGGACTGGAAGCAGAACAGGGTAAGGGGTGACACCCAGCTCTGACACACAAAGAGAATGGATGAAGTCTCACCAGTTCTCTAGCTATCCTTTTCTATCTCTCTAGAAAAGGAGCTGACCATGCAGATCCTCTCCATGTGTACAGCAAGACACCTTGTCCACAAAGCAGCCTCTCCCTTCACCATATCACCCCAGAAGCACCTTAATCAGGGGATCCAGCATTCAACTGAATTTGCTTTGACAAGTTTTTTCCCTCTCTAGATAAGGTCCCTGCCTGCAGCAGGAACAGCTCATTCCCAGCTCCTTGTTTTGGCTGAGTGGAGCAGTAGATCATGCAAACAATTCACACAAGAGAAACTTGTTCAGGGGAGGAAATGGCCCAGCAGCAATACAAAAGAGAGCAAGGGAGGAGGAAAACAGCAGGGGAATTCCACGCTTACCCTGCTCCCCTGCTCCAGCCCTGAAACCTGCACTGCTAACCGCTTCCTCAGCCACCAGCATGAACCTCTGCCAGCGGGCTCAGCAAGCACAGCTCATCCTGCCCTGCAGCCCTGAACCAGCCCAGCCTGGCTCCCTTCCTTCCTCCCCACATACCAATGCAATGCTGCCCTGCTCCACAAAGCTGTTCCAGCTGCCCTCTGGCAGCTCCAAGGGAGCAGTGGATCTCAGCTGCCTTATCCCATGTTCTGTGTTCCTGCCCTGCAGGTTTCATCGCCCCTTCCCTGGGAAGGGCACAGCTTGAATTTGAGTGGAGGGGGGTTTGGGATAGGACTGGAGGAAGGTTGCAGCTAGAGGGATGCAAAGTCCTTTCAGCCACGTTGGGCTCAGCATTCCTCATCTCCAGTCTGGGCAGCAGCTGCTTCCTGGGGCCAGTGAGGGGTGGGAACCGAGAGGTGAGCAGAGGAGACAGTCTCACCTTTCCTAGGGTGCTCTGCAGTGGGTCTGGTCTGAGTGCTCAAGGATGAGGGAAGCTGGAGGCTGACTGGCAGGAGAGGCAGAAGGGCTGCGGGCACCTCGTTTTTCAGTGAGCTGGGGACAAGAAGGTACCCTCACCTCACAGCCTCACATTTGAGAATTTTGCTCAATTTCTGAGCAGATGGTGGCTCTGGGATTGCAGAAGCACTAACCATCAGATGCATGTGGGCTGCTCCCCGCAAAATAAGGGGCCTGCCCCATACCACTATCTAGGCACAGATGGGCCAAGCCAGAAGACAAGTCAGCCCACCCAAGCATGGGCCAGTCACCATCAAAGAAGCATGATGAAAAATGTCAATAAAAGCAGAAAACATCCCAAAAAGTCCATTGACTGTGGACAGTCAGTTTCAAACAGAATGAACTCACACCTGACTCCTTGGGAGGCAAATACCTTCTACAGTTTCTGTACACAGAGAGATATCTTGAGGTCAGAAGAGCCTCTTAAAAGAGGAAAGCGCCTGGACTTTGCCAGAGCCTGTACAACACACCCTAGCAATCATTTACAACCCACAGATATCCTCACTGTCTCAGGATTTTCTTTTAATGAGGTACAAGCCGTGGGTCTAAGATACCTCAGGGCCCCCCT